TGCTGTTGCTTTAAATTGGAACTGAGCATGCCTGGTTGTGCAATTCTGGGAGTTGAAGTCCACAAGTTTAAAAAAATTTGAAACCCACCAGTATGTCAGTGCCTCACCAGCCATAAACCTCACCGCACGTCACTGGACCTGAGAAACAATGGGAAGAAATGAGAGATATTGGGGTTTTTTTTAGGGTAAGAAAAAAAATCCCAAAATTTGAAAGAAAGAAAAAAGTCACTTTTGAAACAACCTGTCATGGGATCCAGAGAAAGACAGGATGAAAGCCTTACACATCCTTAAAAAATGTAAAACAGCTAAACATAGGTGTGGTGAGAACCTAGAATAAAATCTTATACAGACTTCATAGATCATGCCAAAATAAAGTATGAATGGTAATTAGAGATAGAAAATAAAAATGGAATTCATGTAGTTAGCATCTTTTTACTTATTTTGGCTGGCTTCTATTTTTGTTAGTTATTCTGCTGTGATGCAGTCCCCTCAAAGCAAAATAGGAATTGAAGGTACTTGCATTCCTCTCCATGACTGTCCCCCTATGTTTTTTGCTTTTTTTTGCTTTTTTAGAATTGGATATATCCTTTCCCCTTTCTTTCTTTCTTTTATTACTGATAGAGTGGGGAAACATTTTTTGATTGGTTTTAGCTTCAGTGCTTTAGTCTTCTTTCTGCAGATGTTAGTCATTTTGCTGGTATAATACCTTGGTGATTATACCTGTCTTCCATTCCCTATACACATCCCCTTTTGTTCTTAATTCAATTGAAAGTTCCCAGAATATCCACAGGAGCTTCCTAAGGTATCTCCTCCATCTTTTCTCTCATTAGAAACAGAAGCTTCAAATTATCTTTGGTATCTTGTTTTGGAGCATTTGGAGCTGAGTATTTCTTTCCACGCAAAGCCAGCTGGTGATTCTCTAAAACTGTTGAAATGAGCTTTCTCGATCTAAGGTGCAAGTATGACTGTGCTGCAGTTTCTCCAATTTTCCCCTTTTAAAAAAATAGTACAGATTCCAGGAAAAGATACGAAACAACTTTTTTAACCTTTAAAATCAGAAGTACTACATTGTCATACTGCTTATCACTGTATTACTTTCCGCTTCAGTTCTCAGCTTTCTACTCCACTCTCTATCTGAGAAAAAAATGTTTTGCAACTGATCAATTATATTGCAATAGAAGCTAATTGTAAACCATTTTTTATTCCTCCCAACAGAGTGCATCTGGAGACTTAATGATTAGGAATATTCAGCTGAAACACAGTGGAAAATATGTGTGTACAGTGAAGACTGAAGTGGATAGCGTATCATCTGCAGCAGATCTTATAGTACGAGGTATCTTTTTTTAAGGAATACCATTTGGAGGTATTATATCTCATTTCTTCAAGTAGAGCATGAGAATGAGTCTCTCTTAATCACAGTATATTTTACAAACGTGTACCACTTTGTATGTATTTGTGTGAATGAAGGCAAGCGATTACAATTTGTTTTAGTGGAAATGCCAGTTTATTTTATTTATTTGTGTCCTGCCTTCATTATTTTTACAAGTAACTCCAGGCGAACATATCCAGCACTTCTTCCTCCTCCTTCCCCCCTCCCCCCAACAACAACAACCCTGTGAGTGAGCTGAACTAATAGAACGTAACTAGCCCAAAGTCACCCAGCTGGTTTTCATGCCTGAGGCAGGACTTGAACTCACTCCTGCTTTCTAACCTGGCCTTAACCATTAGCCCAAACTGCTTCTCTGACAAGTTCTCCTTAATAGTGAATTAAATACATTAATGAATTCTAAAAAAAATAATTTAGTTATAGGTACTTATATATTTTAAATGTCTTTCTACAGATAAAGCAGCACTTATTGGTTCTGTAGGACTGAAGTCTTGCTATTAAAAATTTGCCTTGAACTAGTGCTCACAATCCATATTCATTCCACTGTTCCCAGCTACATAAATAATACTTATAGGCATTCTTTGATAGATAGGGAAATTACAATTAAATACAAGATTGGTGAATAGGATGCTTTCCAGCTGGCACATTAGCATTTTATACTAGTGCAAATCCATTATTGGTTACCACATAATATTTTACATTCAACATTATTTTGTATGACTTGGTACTGCTTACATTTCTTAATATAATTTCCCCAAACCATAAGAGCATTTGTGATAATTGAAGTGACTATTGCTTTTATAAAACTATTGGGCATGTTCAGAAATGACCTGTATGAAAAGCCAGTCATCTTCACATTTGATACGCCTTGCTTTCTTACAGACACAGTGCTTTGGGTTTAGGTAAGAATAGTATTTTCCCCATCAAACTGCCTGCATGTGTGAATTAATTTTGCAAGCTTTCTTATTTAAACATGAGTGTTCAGAATCAAGCAGTATTTGAAAATATAGGCTCCATTCCCAACCTTAGGCTGATAATGGCATTATCATTACAATAATTTGTAGTCTGTTTTCCAGTATAGACAATAAAATATTTTTAAAAGTTTCAAAATACAAATATAAAGCTGATCCCTCCCTATTTATAGTGCTGATAACCACGTGTTGCCTGGGTATTTATTTATAGGGGGGAAATATCCAAACCAAACATAATTTTTAATGTTGGATTTTCCCCCTTACCACAGAGAGCCCCTTTGTGGAGTACTGTGAAGTCATTTCCATGGCAACTCTACTGTGCTGTACAATAGAATCCATTTTAAGGCACAGCATGCTGTATTGTAACAGAACACACACTGCAAGGGGTGTTATGGGTTTCTTACCCCCACAGTATTTGTTTCCAGAGAGTAAGTCATCTGTGTACCAAGTTGGTTGAAATTGCTCAAGGCATTCCAGAGTTATGCTGGAACACACACACACACACACACACACACACACACACACACAGCCATTTAGTATATATATATACTAAGAAGAACATGAGTTGGAGAATGTGTTAAATATGAACTTTCCAACAATAGAAAATTATTGTTTTTAGTGGGGCTTTAATTTGCTCTGCTCTTCTCCCAAAGACGCTCCTCTCCTAGAAGAAAAGTCAAATCCCTAGTGCTGTATTGCTGTCCATGGTGCTGATATTGTGTTAAGCTTCACAGCAAAACTGCTTTAGATAGCAACTTGTCAGACCCAAAACATTGACAGATTCAGGACAGGATATTAAAGACTAAATTAAAAGGCACAATTTAAAGGTAGAGAAATCTATTGTCCTTTTATTGAATTCCTATTTTACAGCTTCCTTTTATTACTATAAAATAACAAATCAACGGTTTGGTTGAACGTACAACTATCTCTTTTTTTTACTTTCTATATTGATTTATTCTTATTTACCGTGATGGAAAAATAAAAATCATTTGGTATTATGTGGTAATGATTTTTAACTTGCAAGATCACAACCTACTTTAAAATGTGCTATCTTATTGCATTAGGTTCACCTGGACCTCCAGAGCATGTAAAAGTGGATGAAATAACAGCCACAGCAGCTCAGATTTCTTGGTATGAAGGCTTAGATAATCACAGTCCAATCACTGGCTACACTGTTCAAGCCAGAACACCATTTTCAGTGGGTTGGCAAAGAGCCAGAACAGGTAAAGTTTATAGCTATCCTTAGAAATTTTATAACTTTTGGGGGGGGGGGGAGAGAAGAGAAATTCATAATTTCTTCCAAAATGTTTTATGACAGTTCCTGATGTCATTGATGGGAGAACATTCATGGCTACTGCAGTAGATTTAAACCCTTGGGTTGAATACGAATTCCGTGTAGTTGCCAGCAACAAAATTGGAGGTGGAGAACCTAGTTTACCCTCAGAAAAAGTAAGAACTGAAGAGGCAGGTTAGTGGGTCTCTTTGTTTGCTTGTTTTATTTGATAATTTCAGCCTAGCAAAATGGGTCTTATTGCTTGCAACCCTTGTAATATATTTTCCCACATCACTGCCCGACCTGGCTCAAGAGATGGGAGGATAATGTGTCATTCAGCATCTATCAAATATTTAATATTTTGACAGTGTATGCAATTATATTCATTTAAACAATCAAAAAAGAAGATTGAATAATGTAGTGTTGCTATGCTACTGAGATTCAGTCAACTCAAGAGTCAACTATTCTTTAAATTAAAAAAATCCTTCTACAAGAGAATCTTTTTAGCATAGCTTTCTGCTGGCAAAGTTAATGCATTGTTTTTGGCACCAATGAACACCTTTAGATGAGGTGTAACAAATGTATCTTAAACCCTCAAGGTAAGGGGAAACTAATTTCAGTCAGCAAGGGTGGGAGATTACTAGACAGGTCACTAAGTATTAGTCTTGTTTGATGTTTAGCTCTGGAATATTAAAAGTGGAAAGAAAAAAACCTACCTGGGAACAATAAAAATATTCTATATTGCAGTTCTTTTTATAAAGTTTAGAAAAATAAAATTAATGTAGATACAAGATCATAGCTTAGCTCACAATAGTTTTTAAAAAAACCTATTTTACAATTTTCAAAGTGTAAGGAAATAAAGTAAATTTGTGTGATTATGGAACAGAAGTGTTATACAGAGATTTATTGCATAAGAATAAGATTTCCTTTAGAATTTTTTATATTAACACTGCCAGTGTTGCTTGTGTGTCTTACACAGTCTGTTTTGTCATATATGTGTGTACATATATTCTCTCTCTACTTTTCAGGCTAGCATAATAATGTGGGTAGTCCTTGACTTACAACCTCAGTTGGAACTAGATATGTCATTACGATCATAAGTCGAGACACTCACATAACCAGCATTGATTTTGTAAACAACATTTACAACATTTTTTGCAGCAGTCATTAAGTACATCTGTGGTTATTAAGTGGATGCCACAGTTGTAAATGTAAGTGCATTCTTCCAAATGTGTAGTTTTCTTGCTGGAAACTGACAAAAAAGTCATCAAATTGCACAGTCACGTGACCACGGAATACAGTAATCGGGCATAAAGACAAGGGAATTCCAAATTGCTTGAAATGCATATATGTGACTGCATTTCAAGGGATGTTTCTGTGACATAACTTTTGACAGTGCCAGAAATTCTTTACAAACTGTAAAGCATAAGGGCCAGGGCCATCATAATTTTGGTCATTAAATGACTGGTCATATGTCAAGGACTACCTGTACTCCCAATGCATGAGTGTTTTTTTTCCAGCTGCTTCATAAAGGAGAGGAACTAAACCCCACTACATTGATATAACCACTAATCAAAATGAGCCACTAAGGAAATACTAGAAAAAGTGCTTTTAATCCCCAACTCCTGTAAGCAGAGAAACAATATACCATTATGATACTGAATATTGCTCAAAGGTTCAGAAGTAGATGATTGTCCAGCTGCCTCACCCCAGACATTAACAAGGTTATCATCATATATAACAAGGTTATCATCATCATATAATGTTGCTTTTCTTCTTCACAGTTCCAGAAGTACCACCATCTGAAGTAAGTGGAGGTGGAGGCAGCAGGTCTGAATTGGTCATAACATGGGATGTAAGTAGTCCTCCTCCTCCTCCCCCTTCCCACTAATTCATAATTAACTAACAGATACCCATCCATACCAACCTATTTAACTATGAATGTGAGTAACTGACAAATACATACCATATCCTAGACTTGTTATGTACATATTCCATTTCTTTTTTAAAATTTTGATATTTTACTGTGGTACAATTTTTATATACTTATTTACATAGTTAATGTAACATTCCATAGTTTTATCCATGGTTTTATCCATATTTGTATAGGAGGACCAACTGGAGAATCCTGGGTCCATTTTCCTTAGCCCCACTGGCCATAGACAGCTACCCAAACATACACACAGTTGTTTTGCTAATACCATAATCAGAGAAAGAAGGAAAAATGGTACCTCCAACCATAATCTTTCCATTTGCAAAGCTCCTGAAAGCAAAAGATAGCATAAGCAACTGGAGGTTATTCTAGAGTAATGAGAAAACCTCATGTGGGAATGCCCTCCATTAAACTGAATAACTCATTCATACGCACATCCATACTTTGAATTATGCTCCACCTTTCTACCATATGAATAACTCCATAGCCTTTTTACAGTTAAAGCTTATTGTAATGCTACTCTGGTAGCATTAGGCAATAGAACTTTGGCTTCAGTTCTATTTCACTAGTTACAACCTTCATCTTACGCTCCTTTTTTTTCATTTTTTTGTAATTTTGTAATTACAGTTATGTAATTTCTTTTCATATCCAACAGTGTCTTGGGTATTTCACATTATTTTTATTATTTTATCAGGTTTTCTGAGAATGAAATAGATGTTATTCATCTTCCTTTTAATACATATGAATTTATTACATAGCAGTAATTAAATATCTATTTGGTTTAATATTAGTATTTCGTCTTCCTACTTTATGTTAAAGAAAGGCCTAATCTGTTTTATATTCTGTATAGCACCCAGTTAACTACTGGTGGTTAATAACTGGTTGACAATGATCACTAGATAGGCTTATGCAGTATATCTTGTACTTGCATTTTGACCTTCATTGAAAAGGCATGCAACATTTAATTTCAGGTTTTAATAAAGGACAAGGATTTCAGTCAACCTGAAATCAAGCACTTTATTCACTAATTTGATATATTTTTTGTCATTAAAAAAACTGGTTTAAAAAATTCTGACAGATTTGAAGGCATTGTAAAACAAACAGAGCAGTCTTCAGAGCTTTAACTAAAATAACTTGGAAAACATTCTGTAAGTCCCATAGAACTATCTATATGAAATTCCATGGACTTCAAAGTCCTAGACGCCAGTCTTTCAGCTTTATTTAATATACTATCTTAGCAGTAAGAGCCGCTAAATGTCCTGGGAGTTATTGCCAAATAAGTAAGCTTACTAGTAGAAGTTCAGTGTATTCTAAATTTTCATATGGTGGAGGTCATTTTTTCCTTTACTAATCTAAAATTATTACATTCAGAAAGCTATGCTATTAAAATGATTGATAGAGGTTTTATGAGATCTCAAATCATTGTCAAATTGGAAGGTTACATTTCTACAAGGATGATGATTAATGATGATTTTAGTATCTTATTTTCATGCCATCTATGTGTTTAGCCAGTTCCTGAAGAATTACAGAATGGTGAAGGATTTGGTTATGTAGTTGCTTTCCGACCTCTTGGGATTACAACCTGGATACAGACAGTTGTTACATCACCTGACACCCCAAGATATGTCTTTAGGAATGAAAGCATCTTACCATTTTCACCCTATGAAGTCAAGGTTGGAGTATATAATAATAAAGGAGAAGGACCGTTTAGTCCAGTGGCCACAGTGTATTCTGCTGAAGAGGGTGAGTTACTGAATAATTTTATTAGGCGTTTTAGCTGAAAATGAATAAAAGAAGAATTTGCTTTGTTAATTTCAGTGCAGGCATTTGAATTGACTGGCAAATCATGACCTTAGATTGCTCCTTTTTTATTAGTATTCTTTATTCGTTGTCTCCTAATTCAGAGCCTACAACAGCTCCTTCTGGTGTTTCTGCAAATAGTCTTTCTTCTTCCATAATTGAAGTTACCTGGATTCCCATTCCTTGGAAAATGAGCAGTGGGAGATTATTAGGCTATGAGGTAATACCAAATTTTTGTCGTACTTCTTACCCTTACTGTGATGGGATGCTTTTCACTTTCAAGTAATTAATTCCCACTTTAGTTAAATGGCTGATTCTTCAAAGTTGGAAAAGCAGCTTTCTGCTTCTGAACCTAGATGAACACATGGCATAGCTGCAAATTAATCTGATCTTATGGGGAATATAAAAACCAAATGTAAATATTCACAGATTTTATACACAACTTGAGTTTTAGCTTTTTTGCTGGCATTACACCAGATCAATTATAGCAAGATCACAGAAACTGCACTGAGAATGAAAATTAATTGGCAACCAACTTCTATACGTGCTTGGTTGGTAACTGCTCCATCTCCACCCATGACAAGCACACAATCTTCAATCAAAATGCATCTTATATACAACTGGTTGCATTTAAGTGCACAAAGGTTTTGGTTTTGGAAAATTGAATACAAGCAATGCCTTTTTTGAAGTTAACTGCAAAAATAGGTGCAGAATTTGATGCTCAGGTACACAGTTTGATTCTGCTGTTTTTATGTAGATAACAGTAGAAAATATGGTATACCCATCCAGAATTAGAAGTCTATTCAGTAAATATAAAATAAAAATCAAAATAAAACTCTTTAGAATTTTATAGAGGTGTATACAATATTTTTCTCCCTGGTGTTTTTTCTCCACGACAACCTGGAAACAACATTTCATTTCAGCTATTTTAATTAAGCAACATATGATAAAGTAGGGGACGTGGTGGCTCAGTGGCTAAGATGCTGAGCTTGTCGATCAGACAGTTTGGCGGTTCAGATCCCTAGCGCTGCGTAATGGAGTGAGCTCCTGTTACTTGTCCCAGCTTCTGCCAACCTAGTAGTTTGAAAGCATGTAAAGCAGCAAGTTGAAAAATAGGGATCATTTTGGTGTGAAGGTAACAGTATTCCGTGCGCCTTCGGCATTTAGTCATGCCAGCCACATGACCACAGAGACATCTTTGGACAGCGCTGACTTTTCAGCTTTGAAACAGAGATGAGCATAGCCCCTAGAGCCAGAAACAACTAGCACATAAGTGCGAAGGGAACCTTTACCTATGATAAAGTGTACATCTGAGCAAACAATGGTATCAACAGTGTGATTTAAATTAATCTGTTACTTATTCCCTTTAGGTAAGATATTGGAACAATGGTGGGAAAGAACAGTCTTCAAACAAAGTAAGAGCCACCGGAAAGGAGACCTCAGTGAAAATAACAGGCTTGATGAGCAACTTGGTATATTATACAGCTGTTCGAGCATACAACAGTGCAGGAGCAGGTCCTTTCAGTGCCACTGTCAATGCTACCACAAAAAAGCCACGTAGGTATCTTGAGGAGCATTAAGAGCATACTTGCTATCTCGGTGAATTAAAAATTACTCTTTTGTCTTCTGGAAAGAAAATAACAATTTAAATATAATGTGGTGTATGCTACTATAGGCATTGTGAGATACAGAAAAGCAATTAGACGTCAATATATTCCTGCCCCAATATTGTCAATGTATTAGAAATATTACTATTATATTGAAGGTAATTAGAAAGCCCTTTTAATATGAATTCTGGAGCTTCATTTGTTCATTAAAGCCTGGCTGTTCTACAACGTATTTCATTTTCCTCTTTATAAAAATGCTTTTGAACTTCCATTGATTAAGAATCTGTGTACAAGTAGTCCTCAATTTGCAACCTATTGTTTAGCAACTATTCAAAGTTAAAATGGATTCCCTTAAAGATGCTTGACCTGATTCTGAAGTTCTGACGGCTACCTTCTGCTACCCCTTGAGTCTTAGGACTACATTTCAGGCACTTGGCAGTTTACTTAATTCTGGTGCTGGTTTAATGATCGTATTATTGGCTTAATTACCACCACAAAGATGTCTGTACCATGTTTCCCCAAAAATAAGACAGGGTCTTATTTTCTTTTGATCCCTGAAATAAGCGCTTGGCCTTATTTCGAGGAGGTCTTATTATTTTTGAGGTGCAGGAGGCGGCGAACGTGGTTACCTCATGGCTGCTGCTATGTTGCAATATTTTGGGGAGGGCTTACTTTCAGGGGAGGGCTTATTTTAGTGCATATGCTCAAAAGCCAAATTGGGCTTATTATCCATTTAGGTCTTATTTTCGGGGGAACATGGCACGTGTGATTATCTGGTCCAATCATGTGAGGATCCACTTTACATCAGTCACAACTTTGCAAGAAGGCTCCATTTCGGTTGTAACTCAAGGACTACCTGTAAAAAAATTTATACACCTATATGTCAAGGCTATATATAAGCATAAGTTATTTCAGCTTCCATTATCCCAAGTTTAGAAAAGTTAATTTCCATTTCTACCAAGTCTCAAAATCACTTTAACCCCTTTCACTCTTGAGTAACTACAAGCAGGAGCTCTAAACAGCTTTGTAAACAGAAATAGAAAATAAAAAAAAATCTATTTTTCTTCCTTCTTTTATTGTCAGTATACCCAATGAGTCTTTCTAGGTATTGGTTCCTTTTTGTGATCAACACACATCAAACTGGATTAGCAAAGTTCTGTCAGTGTTGTTATTGTCACAAACATTTTTGAGAGTTGCTTGCATTTTTCTATAGATATTTCAGAGGATTCCATAGACTTCCAACTTGATAATGTCCAGAGACCTGATCTAACAATATTTTATTAATGCAATTTATATAGCTGCTTATTTATACAAGAAACTCTCAGTAACAAACCTTATAATAGCAGAGAGTTTTGTAAGTGGGGACTATCTTCTCAGATATTTAATATTTTTATTTTACAGATTTCCAGTATACAGTTTTCATCTTTGTCTGAACTTTGATTCAGTTATCATCTGTCTACTAGTATCCTATACGAGAGCCAGTTTAGTGTAGTGGTTAAGGCATCAAGCTACAAACCAGAAAACTGTGCGTGCTATTTCCACTTTAGGCACAAAGCCAAAGGTCCTTGGGCCAGTCACTTTCTCTCAGCCATAGAAAGGAAGCAATGGCAAACTACTTCTGAAAAACCTTGCCAAAAAAATTTCAGAGACTTGTTCAGGCAGTTTCCAAGAATCAGACACGATTGAATGGAAGAAAGAACTAGTAACCTTTATCATACCAATTAGAGAGTGTAAATTCTTTCTAAGTTCAAATATCCTTTTAACACTTCTTGTTTTTCTACAACTTCACTTTTGATATTTTTACAGCTGTCATTGCAAAACTACTTGTTTCTTCTAATAGTTCTTTGGAATTCTTGGTTTAGTTCTTTCCTCAGATTTTTATCTTTTCTGACTATAATTTCTCTTCTTGATAGTTTGCATCATTTGTTCTAACATCCTGTTTTCTATCTTCTGTTTCTTAGTTGATACATTCATATACACATTTACCATCTTCTTTCATTCTTCTCATATTGTATCATTGAAAATGGTAGGTATATGCTCAAGATCATATTACAGTAATTGATTGGTTTTCATCTGCTGCTTTAGCTCAGCTTGGGAATTGCAAAACTCATATAATGAATGTCAAGAAGCACAGTGGAAAAAAATGGGACTGAGAATAAATAAAAACAAAATCATAACTACAGTAACCATCCCTAGAAATGAACAATGAAGATATTGAAGTGGGGGATACTTTATGTTTTTTAGGATTGACTGTTAGTACTATCAGAACCACCAGTCAAGAACTACCCTGCAGATTTGCCCATTGTAGACAGCCATGAAGGTCTTTGAAAAGATATTCAGATGCTGGGATGTGTTTATTCCTACAAAGATCAAAATCGTGCAGACAATCTATGGAAGCAAAAGTTGAACTTTGAAGAAATAGGGATATTAATGCTTTTGAGCAAAAAATGAAATTATCAAACAAATCAGCCCAGATTTCTAACTTGAGGCATAAATATCCAGGTTCAAATAATATGCAATGATCTAGTTTGCTGGAAGAGAATCTGGAATCCTGAGAAAGATGGAAGGATGCAATAAAAAAGACAGCTAGAAGCAAGATTAGTGAACTCAGTTACAGTAGTAAGGGATGCATCATTGGATGACCTGAAGGACCAATCAAGTCAAAAATTCTTGTGGAAAATCTGTGGTCCCTTTAACTTGGTATAACATAATCTGTCATCTCAGTATAATCTCTAAAATTCTTTGTTCACTACAAAATTGAAGTCAGATAATTCTTTGTTGCCTCTCCCTCTCTCTTATCTTTTTTCCAGTCTCCAGTTTTGTCACTCTTTTCTATTTCTTATAACTTTACATTTGCACGGATATTTATAGCATATAGAGGCTATTGTGTATCTGATAATTCATAGTCGTACCATCAATACCTATTAAATTGGAGGTCATCCTTGAGAGTAAGCTAGACAACTGATCATTAGCATGCTTAGAAATTGATGTCCAAAGTTTAATTATTTATGACTGGAACAACTGCTAATCTAATTATCCTGCGATTTTAGAAAATAGCAACTTGTGACTAATGTGTCTTGCCTTGCAATCAGATAGGACTAAAATCTATTGAGTTTTCTGAATAATTTCAGCAGTATTTAGAAGAGTAGCTTCTCTATTCAGTTTTGCTGGAATTCAATTCAAGATGGTGGAATTATTTTTCCCATGTCAGGCTATGTGTTCTAGGATTCCCTGATCCCCAGGGAATTCCAAATACATTGATTTTTTTCTATATTATAATTGTAATTATTTTATTCAGTAATTAAATTGTCAAGAGTTGGGATGCTGCCTCCTTGCAAAATCCGAATGGTTTTTGTTCGTCCATCATTTGATTCAAAATGTAAAGTGGTGTCTTTTCTTTGCAGTCATTCATAGGAATCTGCAACAAGCCATTAAAGGAGGAAGAGAAAAAGAGAATAATGAAAAATAATTGCGTAGATAATTATGCAAAGGATCACCTGTATGTCTACATGTCTGTGTGTTTGCATGTATTCCATTCTAGTTTGTAGTAATGTTTATTTAGGCCTGTTTGAAATGGCATAAGCATTACTTGCAAGCTTGGGTTTGAATTTCACTCAGCAGAATATTCAGTGGAATTCAGTCACTTAAAAAAATTGTATCCTTCTAAATGTTTTCAAATACAAAAACAGTTACAAAGGATGTGGTGACAGTCAGGTACCTGAATTATTTGCTTTGACATGAGAAATTTCAAATGCCAAATAAATTTAAACCTTGTATTCATTATGTTTTTAAGCACCCAGCCAGCCTCCAGGAAATGTAGAGTGGAACATTACAGACTCGAGGGTAGTGCTGAACTGGGAACAGGTCCATGCAATGGAAAATGAGTCAGACGTAGTGGGCTATAAGGTAAGTTCAAGAAGGCATACTGACGTAACTAAAACCGCACCTTGGAAATATCAGCATTCTCTTTTTTCACTACAGCTATGTTATTGTCCATTTTAAAATCTAGGGCTAAAGGTAGACCTCAACTTGCAACACTTCATTTAGTGATCATTCAAAGTTACAGCAGCATTGTAGAAAGTGACTTGTGACCGTTCTTCACGCTTACAATCATTGGCAGCATCCCTATGGTCACGTGATCAAAATTTGGATACTTGGCATGTGATCACCTTTTGCAATCTTGCAAAGTCAATGGGGAAGCCAGATTCATTTAACAGCCACGTTATTAACAACTGTAGTGATTCATTTAACAACTGCAAAAAGAAAGGTTGTAAAATGGGGCAAAATTAACTTAACAAATATCTCATTTAACAACAGAAATTTTGGGCTCAATTTTGGTCACAGGTTGAGTCTACTTGTAGTCCACACAGGGTTTTTTTGCAGTCAACACAGACTCAAAGACCAAATAAATGAATAAGAAAATAAACAAATAAAAAGATATGTCATTTTAACCTGGGTACCTTGATTCTTATTGATTTATATTCATATTGATGGTATGTAATTATATATTTATGTATTTTATACTGTATAATTACTGTGATTATTGTGTACTGTTTAATTTGTATACCACTTTTCAGCATAAAAAGGTAAAGGTAAAGGTCTCCTTTGCATATATGTGCTAGATGTTCCCGACTCTAGGGGGTAGTTCTCAACTCCATTTCAAAGCCAAAGAATCAGCGCTTTCCGAAGATGTCTCCTTGGTCATGTGGCCAGCATGACTAAATGCCAAAGGTGCACAGAACGCTGTTACCTTCCCACAAAAGGTGGTTCCTATTTTTCTACTTGCATTTTTTACGTGCTTTCAAACTGCTAGATTAGCAGAAGTTTGGACAAATAATGGGAGCTCACTCCGTTACGCAGCCCTAGGGATTCGAACCGCCGAACTGCTGACCTTTCTGATTGACAAGCTCAACGTCTTTGCCACTGAGCCACTGCGTCCCCTACTTTTCAACATAGATATACCTTAGAAATTTCCAACAATAAAAATACAATACACTGGTTTATAGAAAGAACTAAAACAATTTATTTCCATCCCCTTTCAGAACATATAACAATGATTGAATATATTATTTGTGGGAGGGGAGAAAGATGCCTATTAAATAAGAATATCTGTTAAATCCAAATGTAATACTTAGTTAATAAGCATAATTATTTAATTTAATTGCTGTTTTATACCTTTGTACTAATGTGCTTTGGCTGACTAATCATATGATTATGCAATTACATTAATTGTTTGAATTGCTTTGGAAACAAAGAGTTTGTCCATTGTTTGGAGTGAAGTTGTAAGTAGAACTTCGTTGGTACATCTGAAATGTATTGAATGGAGGGCCAGACAATTGAAGTTGTACTGTGTGCATTGTTTTCTTACAGTTCCCAGACATCTAATTTTTCAGTTTTTATCTTTGTACATCATCCTTTCTTCAGCAAATTCTATACAGCAGACAACCCTCTAACTATAGCCCACCTGTGAGACAGTGGTTGTCCAAGACAAATAATATGAATGTAAGAAGCAAAAGTGTTAAGTATCCCTCAAGTAGCCTATTCCTGGGCTTCTGGATGGGACCAGTTTAAGGAACACAGACTACATTACACTTTTCTCCTTTCTTCTCCTTCTCTCAACTTCTGGTTTACTATTGGGTAAAATTAGGAAAGATGAAATAAGCAATCTGAAAAAGTTATTGAATGCAGAACTCTGAATAACCACAAGTAACATTAATGATAATATTTTACAATATGCAGAATAAAATCAGTTATTAATTAAGCTTCTTAGAACAAAATCTCTATTCCTTCAGTCCATATATTATGAACAGTTTAATAAATTATCTGGACTATGGCCATTTGTGTGTTAATTTTATTCTGTAGAATGTTTATTATAGTGGGATTCTGCATATTGTTCTGAAATGAATAATCATTTAAATATAGCATGAAAGACAGTTGTTTTATCCAGAATCATTTCTTTCTATGTACAAGATTTCTTTTACTATGGTTCATAAATATTCACATTTTTTTTTTTGCTTTAATATCCATGTATCATACGCCTAGTTCCTTACATACTTACCTTATTCTTGCTCCAGGAAAAGACAAATTCAAATAGAATAATGATCTATTTAAAAGATCCCATGACTGAGAAACCAAAATATCCAGCCTCTTTTACACCCTTTTTCGGGAATTTTTTTCCCCTTCTATCTAGAAATAATATTAAATGATAATTAAGTAGCATCACTAAAGTTTCACTTTTCTTTTTATGTTGCAGGTTTTATATTGGACTAGCAGTCAGAACCAGCTCAGTATCCTGGACACAAATAGAACATCTGCAGAACTTTTGCTTCCTTTAAATGACGATTATGTTATAGAAGTGAAAGCAGTGACTGATGGTGGAGATGGCATTAGCAGTGACCAGATTAAAGTCCCTAAATTAGCAAGTATGTTTACAGGATGCTAATGCACAATGCTTTGTTAAAAGATGGTTTATCTTCAGGATGAAACTTAATATAGGATATGAATGTTATTTGATGAAAGAAGTTGATCTTTTCTTTCGGATGAACTTGCTTTCAAATAAAGGGCTGTGTGCTGAAATTTCTACTTTTAGCATATCATTTTGCATAATATGGCCAAAATAGGAGGTGAATGTTCAATTTAAGAAGCAGAAGGTGTTTCACCCCTCATTTACAATCTTCGAAGAGTAGATTTTTAAATGGAAACTGCAGGAACTGAATAATGCTTAATTTAAGAAATTAAAGAAAAGTATCTTCAGTTAATTTAGCAGTAGAAATAGAACTTAGACATATATACTGCTTCACATTGCTTTACAACCCTCTCTAAGCGGTTTACAGAGTCAGCATGTTGCCCCCAACAATCTGAGTCCTCATTTTACTGACCTTGGAAGGATGGAAGGCTGAGTCAACCTTGAGTCTGGTGAGATTCGAACTGCCAAATTGCAGGCAGCCGGCAGGCAGCAGAAGTAGCCTGCAGTACTGCATTCCAACCACTGTGCCACTATAGCTCTTACTTGTATAAATATCTATATTTCCACCTAGTTATTTCTGATAGATCAAACATATATTGTATTCTTGTAATGTATGTATGAACTCAAACCTTATTTTAAAAGTATATTGTGCATTTCAGTAAAGATAGAGTAAGTGAGACAGTCTGGCTAACTGTGGCAGATTCTAACAAAGCTAGGAACAGACAGACCTTGCTAATACCTGATTACGAGACCACCTAAAAAAATCCCAGGGTTGTAAATTACATTATAAAACTTTTGATTGATGTATGGATTGATTGATTGAATCATGGAATTTTCAATGACAAATCTCTTTCTTGGTACTGCTTAAAAAAACAATATGAACAAGTCCATATAGTTACACAGAACCAGGCCCAACTTTTCAAAAGAAAGTTACATTAAACATATAATGTGTTTTGGAATTTATAATATAGGAGTAGTCTCTTCGCAAACAAAACAAAAAAGAAGAAGAAAAGGATGAAAGGCCAGGGTAACATTAGAAATAACTTCCTATGTTTTAGACCTATATAAATTTAACTGAAAAAAATGTTTTCAAAGTCCTAAAATCTAAAAACTTCTCGAATGCCAGATACCTGTGCTTAATTGGAGAGATGAGATTTATTGGCTGTATAAACATAATCAAGGCCAAAATACATTGTCAGTATTTTCTATCTAGCTTCCACAGACAATTATTTGTGTTGAACCCACTGGCTACTTTCACACACTAAATAATTTCCAAACGAATTAATTAATTTGATTGTTGTTTTAAAAAAATTGAATGTCAGAGCCTGACTCAGTAATTGTGTTTGTAAAGAATGACAAATTAATCTTTTCATTAGTAGAGACGATTAATATTTACCAGGCTTTTCAAAAACATCACAGAATTACAATTTGAAGAAACAGTGGCAGACAAAATATATGTACCAACAGAGGAACTGTTTGTAGCTTAGGGTTTAAATGAGGGGTCCTTGGTGATCTCTGAGTTTGATTGTTTTCTTGCAGATGTTTCATTACTAGAACTGATGATAGAATAGAATAACAGCATTGGAAGGAACCTTGGAGGTCGTCTAGACCAACTCCTTGCTCAGGCAGGAAATCCTATACCACTTCAGACAAATGGTTGTCCAATCTCTTCTTTAAAACCTCCAGTGTTGGAGAATTCACAACTTCTGGGGGCAAGTTGTTCCACTGGTTCTAACTGTCAGGAAATTTCTCCTTAGTTCTAAGTTGCCTCTCTCCTTCAGTAGTTTCCATCCATTGCTTCTCCAAAGCCCTCAGGTGTTTTGGGGAGTAGCTCAACTCCCTCTTCTTTGTGGCAACCCCTGAGATATTGGAGCACTGCTATCATATCACCCCTAGTCCTTTTTTTCATTAAATTAGACATACCCAATTCCAGCAACCTTTCTTTATATGTTTTATCCTCGAGTCTCCTAATCATCTTTGTTGCTCTACCCTGCACTCTTTCTAGAATCTCAACATCTTTTTTACATTGTGGTGACCAAAATTGGATGCAGTATTCCAGGTGTGGCCTTACCAAGGCATTATAAAGGGGTATTAGCACTTCACATGATCTTGAGTCTATCCCTCTGCTAATGCAACCTAGAACTGTGTTGGCTTTTTGGGCAGCTATAGCACACTGCTCGCTCATATTTAAGTGATTGTCCACTAGGACTCCAAGATCTCTCTCTCACAGTTACTACTGTTGAGCAAGGTACCACCTATACCAGTGATGGCTAACCTTTTCTGGACCGAGTGTCCAAAGTGCACATGCACTCCTGAACCTCCAAAATGCAATGTGTGTGTGTGCCCTCCTCATGATGGCTCATGTGGCATCAGAGAGGGCACTACATGCCATTTCTGGCATGTGTGTCATATGTTCACCATCAAGAACCTATACCGTACCTGTTCATTTGGTTTTTCTGATATTTGGGTATAGAGTTTGGGTATTGAAAGGACTGCAAGAAAACAACCAACCTGAGGGACCACCAAGCATCCCTCAAAATATATGTATTTATTAGAAATGCTATCCTCAGGTCTGCATCAATATTTCATCTATGAGAATTTTGATCAACTTAACAGACTCCAAACTCTAATTAAGTACACTTGTTTTTTCAGTGGTCTCATCCAATTGGATGTTATCAAGAACAAGAGAGATACAGCTATATTATCTTGGAATGGTTTCCCCTTTAGCCAAGAGTGAAACCATTAAGGTTGAAGATTTTTATCAGTAAAGATTTCACACAGTCTAAGGAGTCTTTGTTTATATCAGATAGATAAGATTCTGATTAATTGTTCTTTCGGAACATTTCCCCTTAGTTCAAGGTCCGTTATTGTTATTGGTAAGATGTTTCTTATCTTCAGCCTTAATTATAAAAAACAATTAATTTGTTTTTCATAATTAATTGGAATGAAGATTGAGGAGAAATTTCCTAACAGAATAATCATTGAAAAATTTGCCTCCAGAAATCATGGGTTTTTAGAAGAGATTTGTCTGAAATAGTACAAGGTTCTTGCTGGTGCAGGGATTTGGACTAGTAGACCTCCATGGTCCCTTCCAAGTCTGTTACTCTGTTATTCTCAATATTTAGCAGGAACAGGGTGGAATAAAGCCTCATTATGAGCCTTTAGTGATTAAAATAAATGCTTGCTTAATTCTGTACTGCATACTCAATCACTACCAAAATAAAAAGGGATTCTATTGTTTTATTTTGCACAAATTGGAGATTCAAAATAGTGTGATGCCAGTGGTACTATTTAAAACCATTAAATAGTAAAATATAACTATGCAGTACATATACAATGCTAACACTAAGAAAAATATGAAATTATTCATTAAAAAAAACAGCAAGAAATAGAAAACCATATTTCTATCAAACAGTGAGAACATATATTATTGAGGCTGCATAGATCCCTTAGTAAACATTATATATAACGTTCCCAAGAGACCCAAAAAACCAAAGAATCTCACAGTCCCTTTTAAATATTTCTTTAAAAGCATGTCTGTCTACATTTCCCTCTCTAATTATTGCTAGCTTACTTCTAAGCAGCTAGGAATATATAATATACAGAATGATGCCCAGAGCAATTTCAAACATATATTTTAGTTTCAATATTTTTTTCAGTTGTCTGGAGCTTCCCAATGAATTCTACAATAGTCTTGCAAGCAACTCAGAAAAATAGGGATGAATCACATGTAAGGATTTTTTTAAATGCCTTTGAGGGCATCTTAACTCCTGGCAACTACATAGAATTTTTAAGCAACATTTTTCAGAAGCAGTTTGCCCTTGCCTTTCTCCTAAGGCAGATAAAGTCACCCAGCTGTTTTCTTGCCACAGGCATGGCTATAATTCACAGTCCCCCAGTATCTAGTAGAGTGCACCAAAATAGCTCTCAGGGAATTGAGTTTTTAGTATATGAAGTTGTGGTTGAAGGCAGGTAAAAAAAAAATCCTACAAAAATCAAAAGTTTTATAAATCCAAAGAACATTGAGTTGAAGAGCAAGGCACTGTTAAAAATACACATTTTTATCTTCTTCCACTAATATTTTATTTTGCTCCTCATTTGTTTCAGGTATGGATGCAAGAGGAAGTTGTGCAGAAAGCTTAAATTGCCTCTCCAGCTTGATGTCAATAACTCTGTTCTTGATTTTCAATGCAATATTGTGATAGTGTATTTTCAGATAGTGCAAGACCAGGTGTATCATTTACTTTGAAGTGCTTTTTAAGACAACAATTACAAGACCAACAGAAATAATAGGTGGGAGTTAATATGCATGCATTTACTACCAGTCTGCATTTAAACATTTTTTATCCTTTCTGATATTTCATTCTAAAGAAATAAAGATCATATCCATCTCAAACAATTCCTTCTAAAGGAATATAAAATGCCTTAAGACTTAATGAACCAAAGGACTTTTTAACATTACATATTTCTGATGTGACAAAAATAAGAAGATGAGCATTGGAAAAATGCTTTGAGAGTCTTTATGTTTTCCAAGTAACAAGAAATTATTTTAACGTCTGAAATAAAAACCTTTTAATATTAATTTGCATTAATTACAAATTATATTTCACCACTGCTTGATGAAAAACCTTGAATAATTTCCTTAAAGCCTCTCAGTGCTAGACTTCATTTGAATAGATGATCATCTCTGTTTATATTCATATAGACTGTACATATTTACTTTTGTTGTAAACTGTTAAGTATCAAAGAAACTGGTTTACTAAAAAGTTCATCACGCTTCCATTTTTATTTTTATTTTTTTGTTTCATTAATGTTTGGTAACTTCTGGTAGTTTTTTTCTGATTTTTGTTTGTTTACTTGCTTTATTGGTAGAGGCTGTTCATGGAGATAGTATTCTCCTCTGTTCTAGACTGATGCAATCGCCTAGAATATCTTAGTTGAAAAATGTATTTGTACAATTTCAAAACTTAAAAGTGGAAAATCCCAGGATTGGCTTTTACATTAGAGCACTGAATGATATCTTATCTTTTTCATGTCTTTCCACCCACATAAAAAATGAACTGTGCTTCTTTTCGGTTCAAAACCATATTAATCTATGAAGGTACTTCAGAAGCTCTACGGGACAAATTCACTTGCAACTCTTCATCCATGCAGCTTTGAATTCGGTCCTTAACATTTAGGATCTTCTTGATATATCAAAGTCTGAAAGTATCTGCACTTATTTTATTTATGCTTGCACATCCTTTTAGTAAGCTACTGTAGCTCTTCTTGTTCTCTTAGTTTTGCATTGTGTTTTTGTCTGTATTAGTATTTTGCTTTGCATTTTTTAGAAACAGAAGAAGTGCCCAGAACAGAACATCACACTTCCAGTACAATGCACCAGAGCCTTATAGCCAGGAAATAACTTCCTAAATTATATGTAATGTGTTTGAATATGCAACCCTCAATTTGTTGCTGTCCAAAATGCCAGGTTATACTCTCTTTGGATGTAAGTCCAATTGCAATGTTTCTACCCCATTGTTTAGAATTATTCTGGATGATAGATTCATTCCTGCTCTCTTATTTATATAAACAAATTTAATTTTCTTTTTGACCAATTTTTCATTGCAAATAATGTATAAGCATTCCTGTTTGGCATATCTTGTTTACAATTTCAATGCTTCTAAAAATAATTCTCACTCCAAATACAATTTGTATGGATTCACTTTTTCTGACCTTTCTACTAAATACTTGAGTTAGACTCTTGAACAAGATCTGTAAAAATTCAAGCATTGCTCTATATTTTATTAGGTTTTCAGAACAAAAAAATAATCACAGCTTTGACAGTTTCTCCTTTTTGGTGTCTGTATATAATGTACATAGTAAAATAACACTGTAGCTACTGCCTCCTCAACATGGAAAATGGGAACTATTGATGCTTCCAAATGCTTGTCTTTCAATGGGAATAAAGTTCCTTTACATAATACATAGCAAATTTTCATTCACTGAATGGTAACTTTACCATTCATGTTACAAGAAAATTCTACACCATGTTCCTATGACTACCATTTTCATGATCAACTTACTGGATTTACCTTCTGCTATTGTCTCCATGAGATGTTTAGAATATACTAGTTTCATATTGAAAAAGTTTTGCCTAATTTTATTTCAACTATTAGCTGTGTGTATATATCCTATGGCTATCTGTATGTATTTTTTTATTCTAATAAAATATTTATAATATTGAAAATTTCTAGTTATGTCAGAATTTCAAATATTTCAGTGTAATGGAAAAAACCATGGATAGTTATTCTTTCTAAGTGTGTGTCCCTGTTAATACATATAGTAGTTAAGCTAGAAGCCAAGATTAAATTGATGTGTTTAAAATTATTATAGGTGTTTATGCTTTTTATCAAATACATAGATATTATTTTTGGGCTAGAATATGTATTTCATAATTTGGGGAGGGGTGTAGAGTCAGGGCAACTGAATGGAGCTCAGTGTTTACTGGGATCTGGCCAGAATAAATACTCAGCTCCATCCAATCATCCTGATTCTACTCCCCCCCCCAAAAAAAATACAGGGGTGTTAAAAGGGAGTTTTTATAGATATTCTATTTCTAGAAAAATCCAAAATATATTCTAGTTTGAGCTCAATTCATGAAATGCACTATATAAGGCTTATCAAATTTAGTCATGCATGTCAGCATTCCTAGTATCATGCAGAATTAAATCAGAGTCCAAGGCAAAACAATCCTTTTTGTTCCAATTTAATAAGACAGACATCTTAGGCAGATCTGTGTTAATCCCAATACTGGAAATGACATCAGAATTCTACCCAGTTAAAAGTTCATNCCTGATAACACAGCTAAACCTCCAAGTGACTTCAATGCCTTGCTAAAAGAATGCAATTAACCAGCAGTCAGCAAGGAATATAAATCCATTCCCCACCATCCAGCCAGAGCTGAAGAAGCTTCTTGGATGAGATAAAAATGTCATCAAACAAAAAGCAAGGAAGTTCAGTATCTTCTTGAAAAAACACCTTTAGGGCAATGGGATAGCTACCTTTACTTAACAACTGTGTAACTAACTTAACAACTACAATGATTCACTTAACAACTGTGGCAAGAAAGGTCATAAAATGCAGCAGAACTCATTTAACAAATGTCTCACTTAGCAACATCATTTTGGGGCTGAATCATGGTCGTAGTTTGAGAACTACCTCCATAGTATTTTGAGGAATCATTCATTGAAAAGTGCTTATCATGCACAGAATATATTTTCATTAAATTAAAAATGTTCAATTAAGTTTCTTTAAATTAACTGATCCCAATGCTTACTAACTAAAGGACGTGCAAGCTTTTTGTCTATGAAGTTTGCTGTGACTTAACACTCCCCATTTTTCGGTCCTCCTTGTATGATAACCCCAATTTTCTATACAACTTTTCCCCGATGTACTTATTTTTGCAAGGACTGCATCTAGGAGAAAAAATGCATCTTTGTTTCTGTAGGTATGCATTTTGGGGGTTATGTTTCCCAAGTGCATATCTCTGCATATACTTCTTTGAGTGGCAAATCATTTTTATATCCCTCAGCACTCACTGAAGAAATCTAATGGCCATATCGAATTTGGATTGCACAATTTAAGCAAAACAGAAATAAGAAGTGAAATAGAGGCATTATATCTTAAGCAGGTTTGAGAAGCCTGTTTTTTCTTTAAAAGTTCTTACTGCTGAAGAACCACTGAAAATGTCAATGTCAGCATTCCAAATATCATGCAGAATTAAATCAGAGTCCAAGGCAGAACTATCCTTAAAGTTCCAATTTAATAAGACAGACATGTTTGCATGAACTGGGGAATCCCAAATATAAAACTTCCTGGGATTCCACCCAGTTGAAAGTTCAAGATCTTATCCCCCACACTCATAAATCTACCACATAGCCCAATCTTCTTCGGCCATACTGGCAACTCCACCCAGCTGGTTCTGGTCAGGTGCAGAAGTGGGGAGACAAAAGATGACCTTGGGCTTCTAGAAAGGAATGACAANCCCCCTCCCATCGACTATACTAAAGAAACAGCATAATGAAATAAGAGAAAGTGTGGCAGGCCAAAATTCTAAAAGGAATATAATTGCTGGCCTGAGAAATATATTTATATAATCAGAAGTATAAATTAAAACGTAGGATCTTCTATAACTTATAAAAGTTCCTTAATATATATATATTTTAACTAAATAAGCATCCGTCAAGACAGAGAATTAAAAAAAAAATCACTAAGGTGTGCAGACAAGAAACAGACCAAATTAGCTTTCATCAAATTTCTTTTTATTCCTAAAGCAGATCCTAATCTTTCAAACCATAAGGCTAAGCTTCCTTAGCTGTACTTTTTAAATTAGGACAATGCTACATGAGACTTAATTATGTTCAATATCAACTTTATGGGATTAAAGGATTTGTGAACTAAAGAAAGGTGTGAAGACTGCACTGTGGTAAATTATATAAACATTGGGCTGGATCCAGAGTTGTCCCTCTGAATAGAATAACACATAAAACAGAAAAAGGCACCATCTGAATGTTTCAATTTCTTTTACTAGTCACCATGTTCTAATACACTTTATAAAAGTGTTTTCACCCAATAAATACATAAGGTGTTTGTACTTGCACTGAAAGTTTTCAAAAATGTGAATCCCTACTCTTGCACCATACCATAATGTTTCAAAACAGCATGAGTCTCTCTACACTGCCTTCAGCATACCCAAAAGTGGTTTTAGAAATTGCTCTATTTATAATTGCTCTCAAATGCTACCATGCAGCTCAAACCCATTTTCTCAAGCCAAATGTGAAAGAAATGAAATCCTTTTCTGCCCTGTTGCAGACTGGAATAGGGAAGTAACTGGACCATATTATTAAGAAACAATATATTTTTGTATGTATTGCTGGGTGCCACGAAGCCTCTTATTTAATCCATTTAAGGAGCCAATTGTGGATCAAATGTGATCCATAATTTCCACATGAGCTCTGTGATTCTGAGCCAAGAACTGAAAATAAAATGAGGTGGGAGTCCTTCATTAGTACACAAGTTGGCATAACAGTATATCTCCCAATACTTTAGACTCTGAAGAGCTGAACCAAAAAGAATGAAGACGTAATACTTGTTGCTACATTTCTTATTCTGGACTAGAAATATTGTTTAACTTTATAGGTGAGGATGGAAGACTAGATTTATAACATTGCCAGCTATATATACTCTACTCGGTGAAACCAGGAAGATGTGCTTGATTTATGTGATGTCTCTTGTACTACATAATCCAGCCCTAAAAAGACATGGACTACATCAAGGGTGTCAGACTCAAGACCCATGGTGCTTAGATCTGGCCCGTGGTGCTGGCCTGGAAATACTGGAAATAGGAGGCCGTGGGGGACCCCTGCCTGTTTTTGCCAGCAAGGTGCTACAGGAGGCATCCGTGCTGTCCCTCCTGCCAGCCCACGGAAGAGAACTACAATGCTGATCCGGGCCTCGAAGAAATCCAGTTTGACACTCCTGAACCAAGTAATCATGCAAGATCACGTTTGTTTATCAAATTTATAATATCTTGCAAAACTGTGACACAGTAATCCCAAAAGGCAATATATAACAATTGTTTAGATAACAATTGTTATCTAAAACCAGTAGACATTATTGCTAAGAAACATGAAAAACTGTAAAAGCAGAACTAAATAAGGAAAGGAAAACAATAGAGGGATATCAGAAATAAAATAAAATAAAATGATAGATAGATAGATAGATAGATAGATAGATAGATAGATAGATAGATAGATAGATAGATAGAT